TAAGGAGGCATGCATGCGAGGTTGGCGTCCTTTAAGCCCAGAGTACTGACCGGAGCCAGGACCTTGTTAGCGGCCGGTAATTGGCTAACAAGCGGAATGGGCTTTTTAGGCGGCTCTCTCAGATCCCCAACTCGTGCTGGCAACTAGCCTCATAGACGACTCGCTGCACCCCGGATCCTGTGTTCCTGTCTCCTGGTTTTCATCCTGACTCCCCAGCTCCTGACTTTGGCTTGCATGACGTTATTTCTCTGGCTTCCTAACTATGGACTGTGTATCCTGACTTTTGACGAACGGCTTTTGGCTTCTGAACTCTGCATGCAATCTCCAGTAACCCTAGACTGTGTTTTGACTTGATATTTTGGACTCTGCTCACGTTACTCTGTCTTATCTGGTGCCATGACCTCGGACTGTGTTTTGGCCCTCTCATGCCCTGCCTGGCCCGCCAGCGCAATCATGACAAGGAGTCCACCAGGAGAAAGAACAACTTCCCCTGGAACAGGCCGGCAAAGTCCAAATGCACCCGTGCCTATGGCATGTGGGTAGACTCCCATTGGTGAACAGGAGCCCTTGGAGGTTCGGGCTGCATCTCTTGGCAGGCCTGGCAACGCTATACCCAGGCCTCGATCCAAAATTAATGCCAAGCTTGCTAGATTTTGCTTGTATTATTCATAAACATTATTGTTGTGGGGGTGAATTCTGCCGCTTGAATAGCTACTTTCCCGGCATGGACACAAACGACTGCTCTGGCCCCTCTAGCAAGGAGGGAAAAGGTAGCATCTCTCAACTACAGCTGCAAAGGCCAGGAAAAATTTAGGAGAAAAAAATAAGGCCAAAGCCGATGGTGCAAAATCAGGAAAAATTATATTTTATTACTCAGTTAAAATTCCCAAAAAAATTCCCTATGCATTTTGTCAACGGGCTTCGTCAGGGGAATCTGTTCATCTTGCAGTCGTTCTTCAAAAAAGAGTACAAGGTCATCTGCAAGGTCAACCTTGCAAAAACACCCACCTCCGGGTGTCCCCACGTGTCCAACACTGGCTGAAGATACTTCCAATTGAGTTCCCACTTGCGTAATGATGCTCCCCCTCTGCTTAGGAAGTCTGCGGTCACATTCAGGGAACCCGGAAGGTGACCAGCCACCAGAAAAATGGTCCGGGACTGGCATTTGTCCCAAATCTCCAGAGCAAGCCTGCACAGACCCCTTGATACTGTGCTGCCCTGGCGGTTGATGTAGCACAATGCTGTGGTATTGTTCATTAGGATCGCTACTGTCCGGTGAGTCACCATGTGCTGGAACGACCGGAGAGCATACCTGACAGCTAGCAGTTCCAGGAAGTTGATGTGTTTGTGAGAAACATGAGTTTCCCAACTGGATCCCACACATATTCCATTGAGATGTGCGCCCCAGCCCCAGAGAGATGCATCCGTAGTTAACATCATGGATGGGGTGGGAGAGTGGAAAGGCGCCCCTGCTAGTAGGTTCCGCTAGTTCTCCCACCATTTCAGGAAAGCCAGAACCTGGATGGGAATGACAAACCGCTGGGAGTGGGAGTGACACTGGGGATGAAACCTTTTCAGGAACCATAGCTGGAGTGGTCTCACGTGAAGCCTGTCTAACATGATTACCACTGTAGTGGCGGCCATCAGGCCCAAAAGACGCTGCAGTTGCCTCACTGAGGCGTCTCCCTGAGAGTGTACAAGCCTTATAAGAGCGATGATGTCGTCTGCCCTCTTGGGAGGGAGGAAAGCCTTGCAGTTAATGGAGTCCAGAATCGCTCCTATGAACTGGACCCTCGAGGAGGGGAGGAGCATTGACTTCTTGTGGTTGACACACAGACAACTAACTTCCCTCAGTAACTCTAGCGTCAAGTCTATATGTTGAAGGAGGGTGGCGTTGGAATTTGCTACCAGGAGTTAGTTGTCGATGTACTGGAAAATTCTTATCCCCTGTAGACGAAGATGAATGGCAATGACCACCATCATTTTTGTAAACACCGGGGGGGGGGCCTAGACAGCCCTAAGGGAAGGGCCTTGTATTGATAATGGTGTTCCCCCACTGCGAAACACAAAAACTTTCTGTGGGCGTGATGAATTGTGACATGAAAGTAAGTGTTCTGTAAATCCACGATCGCCATCCATGCCCCTTGCTCGAGGAGGGGGAGGATGCTCTGCAAGTCAGGGTATTTGCCACACGCTTAATAAACTCCCCATAAGACTTCAGATCCTCCAAGGGAGATATTGGAAGGTCCTCCGACACTCTTTGCGGTGGAGAAGGGCTGGGTGGATGCTCTTGGCTCTCTTCCCCCGATTGCGAGGAGTCAGACAAATCAGATCGGTCAGAAGGGTCTACAAATGCCATTGGCAATGTCGGAGCTGACTGGGTTGGTACCGACGCAGATACAGTCTGTGACATCGATGAAAGCTTTTGCTTAGGGTGCATGCCTATCACTATCGATGGCTGAAGTGGCAAAAACTCCAGCATCGGAGCAGGATGTTGATACCGAGACAGTCGGGAAGATGTCGATTGACGATCCCATTCCATCAGCATACGAGGTGGAAGCGAGGGCACAGAAGATGACAACGGATATGCCCCATACAGGTATTGCCACTGGCGTTGATCCCAGGGGCTCGGTGGAGGAAGGAGTGGCCCCAAAGGTCGGTCTCAATCGTTGATTGACGAACAACAAGGGAAGGGTTGTGCAAACGCACGTGCTCCTTGGCCCGAGTGGATGCTCTCAACACTGGAGGAGCGTGAGGCTTGAGTCAGGTCCATGTCTTGCTCAGAGTCAGTGAGCTGAATCGGGTGCAGCGAAGGTGAGGATGGAACACCTTTCAGCTGCCCATGGCCTGGTGAGTCAAGCGAAGTGACTCCAGAAACCTGAGACAGTTCCGGTGCATGTCCAGGAGTCGAAGGAACTCTGCTAGGAGAGTCTTTCAAAGAACTCTAAATGTTTAACAAGACAGGACTTACCTTTGTATGTTGGTTTTTACTCAGCAGGGTTTGCCCTTCTATATGCTTGACAGTTTTACCTTAATAAAGTTTTCCATCAATTTACTCGGAACAAATATTAAGCTAACTGGCCTGGGCCCCTTTTAAAAAAATGGGTGTTGCATTGGCCACTCTCCAGTCCTTTGGTACAGAGGCTGATCTTAGGGACTTGTTACATATCTTAGCTAGAGGATCAACAATTTCATATTTGAGTTCTTTCAGAACTCTATGATGGATAGCCTCTGGTCCTGATGACTTGTTAAGTTTGCATTTTGTCAGTAATTTCTAGAACTTCCTCCCTTGTCACCACTACTTGCCCAAGCAATAGAGACTGGGTAAAACGCTCAGGGCTGCTTAACTTAGAAAAAAGGCAAGTGAGGGGAGACATGACAGAGGTCTATAAAACTATGCACGGTGTAGTGAGAGAGGACACAATTCCCATAGTCCTAGAACCTGAGGTCATTCACAGAAGCTGAAGGGTGGGAGATTCAGGATAGACAAAAGGAAGCACATCTTCACACAGCATACAGTTAATCTGTGGAACTTCCTGCCACAGGATATGCTGATGGCTGACACCCTGAAGCCTTTAAAAGGGGACTGGACGAATTCGTGGAGGACAGGACTCTCAATGGCTACTAGCCAGGAGGCATCCATGTGCTCCCTTCCAGTACCAGAAGCAGGAGGCCTCGTTGAGTCCGCTGGCTGGGAGCACGGATGGGAGGATGGGGTCATCCTGCTTGTGGGCTGGCCGGCCACGAGGGGAGCAAGACACTGGCCTCGCTGGGCCTTCGGTCTGATGTCGCGTGGCTCTTCTTATGCTCTTAAGTTTATATACTACCTAACTTATAAATGATGCTATGAGGGTTCTTGGGAACAAAAGAACACACACACACCTAGTAACTGTTTAACAACAACACTTTTATTCTCTTTTCTAGGTTCCAGTCTTGCCGTATGATTCACTCAGTTCTTAAAGGGTGAGCCTCACGCCTGGGTGGTACCACACCCTTCACCAGGTAAGTCAAGAGACGGGGAGATGGCATCTGTCAGGCCACCTCCCTCACTCCTCCTGTCCCAGCCTCCTTTGCCCTTCTGCCCCTGCTCCTCTTGGCCTTCCTGGTCTTTCTGTCTCCTCCTCTACTCTGCCGTTTCCTCCATCTGCCCACATCTGCTTCTCTCTCTGTACTGTGTCACCGCCCTTCTGTCTTCTGATTCTGCCTTTCCTTCTGACGCCTTCTCCATCAGCACTGGACTTGCTGCCATCCGGTCCTTGGCATTTCCCATCTACCCAGTGTCTACAAACCAGCGTTCATAAACACCATTCCTGTCTGGGACTTAAGCCTCCTCTAAGTGACTACTGTCCGTCCTTTAAGTACATCTTTCACTGCTTCTTTTTGCTTCCCATTTATGTTACAATAATGGTCAATAAAGTGGGTGTGCTCAGGTAAGAAAAAATGTGTATCAATCACCTGCAAATTACTGAACTAATGAGTAATAAAACATTCTAAGAGTCCAATCTGCTCAGCCCCCCCCACAAACCAGATGTTGATCATAAATATTTTGCAATATCAGAAGCCCTCAGTCTAATAAAATGCAGTGCTGAGAATGTCAAACACACCAATTGGAACAGGACCAGAAATCCTTAACTGAACCACTGGGGGGGGGGGAACCCTGCACACCACCTAGTGAAGTGCCACAACATCTGAGGGGCTGGCCAATCTTCCCATCTCCGGTGACAATTCCAGCTGCAAACATGAGGCATTAGTTCCATGAGCTTCCTAGCTTTGCATTACCAAAATACAGTAATAAAAATGTTTCTAAATGGCACAATATTGGTTCTAATTTCTAAAAGTGTTCAGGAATTGTTCAACACTCACTGGAATAAAAGGTTTCATATTTATAGAACAAAAATATCAAAACTCTCTCTATCAGAAGGACATGCGCAAACATAACATCCAAGCACACGTGGAAATGCTCACAGTTACCACAGCACAAATGGCATTTCTGGCCTTACCTTTGAAGAAAGGGATGTAATGGTGGTGCCTGAATGCAGATGTGAGGCTTGTGTGTTGGGGGAGGGAGAGGCAGCTACTGGTACCAAGACTCTGAGTACCAGCTAGGGGGCAACAGAAAGTGCAGTCATTTCCTTTCTAAGACCTACAGAACATTTCTTTCTAAGACCTACAAAACAGAAAGGAAAGTCATTTCCTTTCTAAGATCCACAAAGCATTCCACATCTTTGAGCTCGGGGAAGGGCTTCTAAGTTGGCCGGGTGGTGCCCCTTCTTCTTGCCCTGGCAGAGAGGAGATCAGCCAAGGAGCGGGCAGAGCCACGGACTGTGCAGACAGGATTGCTTTAAGGGACCTTCTGAGCCCGCCCCCCCCCAGGTGCTGGGCTGGAGCCAGCGGCAGAATAAGCACAGCTGGGGTGCTGCTGCTGCTGACCGCAGGGAGAGGTTGCTGTTGCACGTTGATCTACCTGAGATCACAACGGGAGCCGAATTCCCGACCCGGGTGCCAGAGGAGCATCTGCTGCTTCACTCATCTGCATCTCTCCCTCTGCCCACTCACAAATGCTGCCTCCCTTTGGCAGAGAAGCCCTGTATGGCTGGGTAGGTAGCACAAAGGAAGGTAAATGGCCCTCTCCTCCCATTTCTGTGGCTGTCAGCTGCTTGGAACACCTCCCTGTCCAGTGTGAGTCCCAGGCATGTCGGGGAAATGGGAAATATAGGATTATCCCGCACAAGTCTTCAGGGCCCGAGTTGTAACTATAAGCTCTCAATGGCGGTTCCCACATGGGGATGGGCTCACGTGGTTCCCCCACTGCTTCCCCGCCCCCCACCTCCCGGGAACAGCCACCTCCAGTCTACTAGGGCTTTTCTGGGGTTGTTGTTTTTATAATGGCAATTAAATACAGTTGTATCGATACAATCCATGTATTATATATCCACCTATTAACAGGTTCTCTGAACTCCCATCTTCCCTTTTTTTAAAAGTAAAATCTCTAGCCACTTTAGTTCTGGAGATTTGGCGTCTCCTTACATCTCTGCAACAGAAGGGGCCAGATATTTACTTGTTTTTTTAAAAGCTGGGAATTCAGAGATCCTGGTACCCAGATTGTTGTAACAATATTTAACTGTCAATTTAAAAACAACCTGGGGACCCCCCTCCCCATGGTGGGGGAGGGGAGGAGAAAAGGGCTGTTGCGGGGACAGAGGCAGGGGAAATGGCTGCTCTGTGTGTGTGCACGGGAGAGCTTGGATTCTCCCACCCACATGGCAGCCATCTAGGCTGTACTTAAGATCTTTCCTGAAACTTTGGAGCAAGGGAGGTCTGAGAAAGATCAGGGGAAAGCTGGGGAAATTTCAGGGAAGGTACCATGATGCTGTCTGTGGTGAAGCAGGAAATAATGCTGCTTCCCAACGGCAGTCGGACCCCCAGGGTAGACTAAGTAGTGTGGGAAGGGCCTATGCTGTATTTCGCTCTCGCTCTCTCTCTTTCTCTCTCTCTCTCTTGCTCTCTCTCATTGCCAAGGGACCGGCCAGGGTCTTCACGGCAGCCCTTCAGGTCGCCAGAAAGGTCCTGCGTACCCTGAGCCCCTGGCTGTCACCTCAGAGGAGATTACTGGATGGCAAAAAGCCTCCTGTCATTCTGCAGGACCTAATATCATCGAACAATCCTTAGTGAATTCAAGGATATTTGTATCCTGACAGATAAAAAAAAGTTGAGCCTTGTTATAGCTGGGAGTGAAATATATGGCTAAGGAGCAGTCTCCATTATGCCCAGCAGCACCCATTTGGGAATGTCCAGTTAGTCACAGGCCATTTTTAGGTCATGCCACCACTACTGGCTTCAGACAGGAGACACTCACATCACTGTTCAGGGAGCAGGTCTAGTCAGAAGTAAGTCCCATTTTATTCAAAGGGCCTCACCCCCAGGGGAGCATTCTTAGGACTGCAGCCTCAGACAAAGTCAGTCATGAGAAATCTTAATTCTCTCCTTGGGGCCCTACTTTTTGGCTGGGTCACTGCTGGCCATTTACGGCACTGAGGGGAAACTGCTAGCATCACAGGCACCCTCCAGGTGGGACCTGGGGATCCCTCGGAACTACAGAGATCAGTTCCCCTGGAGAAGATGGAGGCTTTGGAGGGTGGGCTCCGTGGCCTTGTGTGCCCCCAGCCCTGAGGCCCCTGCCCTCCCCAGGCTCCACCCCCAGATCTCACTGAGTTTCCCAACCTGGATCTGGCAGCCCCCCCACCCCACCCCCCACTGGTGGCCGGGGGGACGACGACAACAACACACCTGGCAACCCCACAAGCAAACCAGTAAATGTAAAAATTAGTAACTGTCACTGCTTATTTCTGAAACTCAACATCCTGCTGAACAGTCAAAGAGGAATTAGCTTTGCAAATGAGCAGGCACAGAAAGCTTTAACCTGGATGTCCAGGTGGGAAGGGCAAAAGACGAGAGCTAAGAACTGGGGCCTCAGAAAAAAGAAGATGAGTTTTCGAGTCCTCTGTAATCTGAGATGCTTCCGTACTACTAGGGAAATCAGCAGATTCATCTGGACGTTCTTGTCAGCAGTGGAATTTATGGTGTGATTTTCATTACTGAAACTTGGTGGGTCATTTTTCATGGTCTTCTTTCCCACCCCCTCGCCTTGCAGCAGTCCTCCTTCCTCCAGGGTTGAAGACAGAGGGTGGCTCTCGGGGAGAAGGTTTCACCGTGCTGCCCTCTGGTATGTGGTGTCCTGCAAGGAGCGATCCTCTCCCTGACATTAGTCAACATCTATACGCGCCCCCTTGCCTGGTTAATTCAGGGGGTTGGGCTGGGTTGTCACCAGTATGCTGATGACACCCAGCTGTATCTGTTGATGGACAGCTGGCCGGACTCCGCCCCAGATGTCCTGGCTAGGGCTTCTGAGGCTGTGGCTGATGGGTGGCACACGAGCTGGCTAAAACTCAGTCCGGCTGAGACTGAGGTCCTGTCCCTGAGTCGTGGGGGGCTGGGTTCTGGAATCCGGCTCCCTGCCCTTGGTGGGGCACCACTGACACCGGCGCCAACGGCGAGGAGTCTGGAGGTGATCACAGATGCCTCCCTTCCCATGGAGGCCCAGGTCACCAGCGTTGCCAGACCAGCCTTTTACCATCTTCGGCTGGCCAGGCAACTGGTTCTCTACCTCTCCTCCCACAACCTGGCAACAGCGATCCACGCAATGGTCCAGGCTTGATGACCACGACTCGCTCTATGCAGGCCTACCCTTAAACCTGATCCAGAAGCTTCAGCTGGTACTAGCAGTCCACGGCCCCAAAGACGTCCGACTTGCCTCGACCCGGGCCAGGGCCGTTTCAGCCCTGGGCCCAGCCTGGCGGAACAGGCTCCCGATCGAGATCAGGGCCCCCCTGCGGGGGATCTGTTGCAATTCCGCAGGGCCTGTAAAACGGAGCTGTTTGACCAGGCCTTTGGCTGAGGCTGTGGACATCAAAGAACATCGGCCTCCCCTGCTTTAAGTGCCCTGTGGCGCTATTTACATCTTGGACACCTGGAGCAGCACCCGTTTCCATCAGAATGATTCACTGCCCCTCTCCTGGCGTGAGCTTACTGTGTGTTGGACTGTAATCACACGCCGCTGTTGTCATTAGGAATTTTAGATTGGTTACTCTAATAATATTGATGTTTTAATTGGATCATTGCTCCGGTATTTATGTACTGTTTTATAATATGATATAAGCCACCCTGAGCCCATTTGCGGGGGTAGGACGGGATAAAAATCCCACACATAAACAAACAAACAAACACTAAGTGGTGGGCGACTGGGCGCCAAAGTGGGCTCAGCCAGTGTCAATGTGGCTGGAAGCCAGTCGAGATGGTAGCTGCTAAGGTACAAAGGCTCTAAAGGATACCACTGACAAAACAATGTAACAAGCACACTTTTTGGGAATTGCCGTGCTTGCCAACAAATGGCAGAAACACCCAGCTTTGGATCCTTGAGGTCTTTGTCAGACTTCCTGCGTTGGGCTCCCACAGTGGCGCATCCAGTACGTACCCCCCACCCCACCCCACCCCATGGTGCACCTTGTATGCCAGAGGGGAGGGGAGGCAACATTGCTTATCAGAACTGCCATAATCTTTATCTTGGTGTTACTTTCCTTCAGTGCACAGTACACGGGGTCACCTTCTCTGTGTTCTGAATAGACTCAGCTTTATAGGGGATAACAGATCTACTGACTATTAGCCATGATAGCTGAATGGGGCCCCTGGGCTCAGAGACGGAATGCTTCTGATGGCCAAAGACGGGGGAGAAGCTGGCAGGCGAGGTGTCCGGCCAGCAGGATCTGCTCGCTGGTTTCCCTGTGGCATCCCTTGGAAACAGGATGCTGGACTAGATGGGTCACTGGTCTGACCTAGCATGGCTATTCTTATGTATGTAGGCATTACTTTTAGGCAAACTTTTAAATGGCATAAAAGGGATGATAAACTTTTTAGAGGACAGACCAAATATTTAAAATTATCTCAATAAACAGAAGTGGTTATGCTCAATTATCTGCCTGTTTGGCTCATGCTCACTGGTCACAGTTAGAGAACCAAGTGTTCTCCAGATTCAGTGCCATTTGTTTGTATGACTGGACTGATTCATTAAACGATTAGCTTAGCTTTTCCCATCTAGTGCCATGGCCAATTGTTAGAAGACATATAGTTGAAAGAGGGAAAAATCCATTTGAGAATCTTTAGTTGAGATTTGCTGCTTATATGTTTCTGTGTGCCTTCAGTGTCTAACTGCTCATGAACCTACCTAACCTTGCAATTGGTTCTTCTGATTATTTTGCAAGCAGATGTGGCTGACTGTGCAGATGTAAAAGGAGTCAATGCAGGGTTGCTCATTTAAGGGATGGATTCGACTGCACAGGTGGAAAGTCAGGACAAACTACAAGTGATCCCATACTGGACTAGGACTGGATTATGGTCCGGGGGGACGGGGGGGGGGGCGGGTATGTGCCTATCCTCGGGTAACTGAGAATAATTATTATATATTTAGAAAGTTTAAGGGACACTTCTCCAGAGACCCACTTCAGATGGCTAACAAGATAAAAACAATTCATCAAAGTTTATTTCCTATTACCACGGAACAACTTGGCATCGTAGCACAAGGGACTACTGCTCAAGCACAACGCTGTTCAACTAGGTGCCTGAGACATACTTTGACCACAGAGGCGTGCAAAGGGTCTGCCACGGCCTCAGACGGGGAGCTGGCTCCTGAAGCACGGGCCAGGTTCCTCAGAGTGTCCTCCTGGGCCTACCCCCCCCCCTCAGTGCAATACTCCCCTGACTTGGCCTCCGCACTGGTGCCGCCCCTCTTCGGTCTTGCCTCCTCCCGGTGGTCTCTGGCACCCCCACGGGTGGCTGCCTTGTTCCCCGGCGCTTCCCAGGGCAGGGCTCCACCTGCTGCTGTAGCACAGCTCTGCCTGCCATGGGCTGTGGGCTGCCTCACCGTTTCCAGTGCTCCTGATGTTGGGCACAACCTCCCAGGTGCTGAAACTTGCAGCCCCCGCCCCCCCAGCTCACTGCCTCCTTCTAACTGCATGGCTTGCTGATGTGGGCTCCAACTCCTCAGCAGCATCTCCTCACACACACACGCACACACACACCCTGGACAGCCTGGCCCTATTTCCTGCAAGTCAGGCCACACAGGGTGTGGCGTGATGCCACCCAGGCCTCGTGGGCCTGCCACAGGGTGATTTTATCAGGCTTGTGCGTAGTCATGGAAATTCAATTCAAGTAAGTTTTCCTGGTGATTGCATTTGCGCCAAAGCTTCTTCCTCCCCTTACTAGAAGAGTTGGGACAACCAACCCAAAACTTAGGAAGGCCAGACTTGAAATGTTCCATGAAGGAAAGAGTCAGTCACACCACCTGGGAGCAGCACGCCGAAAAAGAGGGTTGGCCGAGGCTCCCAATGGCAGATCCCTTTTAGCAGGCATTTGTTTCAAAGCCTCGGGAAGGAAAACAAACTCTCTCAACAGGGACAACAATCCTGGCTTTATTTCTGGGGCCACCATTCAAGAAGGATACTACTTCAATCTGGAAAAAGGATTCAGGGGAGAACTGTGAAGGCGGTAAAAAAATCTAGAAGGCAAAATTATTTAAACAAAGGATGCAGAAATTGTGCATGCTTAAGCCCGGAAAAAAGAGCATTTGCCGGGGAAGAAGGGATTAACATTTTCCAAAAGGTTTCTGAAGGAATAATGGGGAAATTATGTACCCTCTCTACTAGGTGCAGGAGAAGAGCAATGAGTGGAAAGTCTGGGAAGGTGGATTTTGGTCAAACCTCAACTTGCAAGCTAAGGAAGCAGCCAAGTTCAAGCAATGGGTGCTTCAGAGCTGGTGTGGCGTTCCCATCTGAGACGCAGGCTCAGAGCGGAAACCCTGCTTTATTCCCGTTTGTCTCCCTTCCACTTTCACAGCCCTGTCCTGTAAGACATTTAAAAAGGTTCCCAGATCCTCTGCCCTTCTCCCGCCCGTGTCGTTCTCCAGTTTGCTCTGCAGCCTTTCCCAGAATGACAAAGACAGAAACAAAACTGAATCATCTGCATTTTCCCACTCTAGCGAATGCCACAGCACTATAGCATGCTCTAACCCCCAGAAACAAAACACCCCAGAATGGCTTGGGTGGGCATGTACTTTCCGTGTCCTGGCTAGAAATGATGTGTTCTTACTTTCCAATAATCCCATAGTATAAACAATCAAACAGCAGCACAGATGTAGATTCTTATTTCCACATCCTCTCCGAGGCCTGTGGCTCCTGCTGCCCAAAGGTGAGCGCCCGCCGCCCACAGAACACACCTGCCCTCTCCCCACAGGACACTGGGCACAGCTCGGCTCGAGCTCCGCAGAGCCCTCTTTCCTCTCCAGTTCCTCTCTGTGCTAGACGGGACCCAGGGAAAGAGTTTTATTTATTTAAAATGTTTACCTCTCTCCTCTGTTCCTACTGAGGGCCAGGGAAGAGGAATGCAAAGAGTCTTAAAAACCCCTCACTGTATTTTGGGGTTGTGGCCGATGATTACATTTCAGCAAGAGTTGTGTGTGTGTGTGTGGGGGGGGCTTCTGATGCTCTCACTTCACATCTTTAACTCCCTCAGAATGGAACCCTTTGATTCCATCACACAAACACACTATCATGGATCTGAAAGATTTCAACTGGCGTAGGCCTCACACAGAAGGGGGTCCCCTTTCCTGTGCCCCCAGAAGGGAGACGCAAAGTGGGGTCTGGCAAAAGGCACCTTCTCAGTCGTTACCTGGCCTGCTGTAGCTCTGAGGAGAGTGGCAAGGGGGGGTGCTGCAGCCATAGCCGAGGGAGCCTGCAGAGCTCGGGCTTGATGTCCTGTACTGCTTGCAAGGCCGGTCATCTTGGTCCCCCTGGGAGGAGGAGGAAGAAGAAGAAGAAGAAGGGAGGAAAACCTTTTACATCATTAGGAAGAAATGGGAGTGAATGCACCTTCAGGCAACAGAACACATTCAATGTCTGTGTGTGCTGGGTGTGTGTGTTGTATTTATTTATTTATTTTATTGATTTTTATCCTGCCCTTCTGGCCTAGGCTGGCTCAGGGCAGCTTACAACAGAATAAAAATTCTCATAATCCACGCAGTGATTATTTTTGCTGCCTTTATTGTTAATGACACTGATTTTAACACAGAACCTAATATCACAGTTGCTTTTGAAGCATTTTTATAGTATAGAATCATAGAATGTTAGCGTCGGAAGGGACCTTGCAGGTCATCTAGTCCAACCCCCTGCACTCTGCAGGAGCACAGCTGAAAGAGAGCCCTACATACCTACAACATCCCCGGAAGATGGTCGTCCTACGTCCGAACCCTGTGGCACTATTGCTGCCTTTCAATTTTTAGGACTTGGGACAATTTGTTTTGTAAGTAGTTACATTTCAATGTTTTATTATCATGTATTGTAGATTAACTGTAAGGCATGTCATCAAACAAACTGGGTAGGAATTATGGGATAGATTATTTATTTATTTATCTATCAGATTGATACCCTGCCCTCCCAGCCAAAGCTGGCTCAGGGTGGCTTAGATAAAAGAGTAAAAACACATAAATAACAGTTATGAACAATCCTAAAACCTTCTAAAACCAATCCAATATTGTAAGGTGCTGGTAGACATTAAACTAATAGTAATAATATTGTTTAGCGATGGCGGCAACAATTCATTGGTCTATCATAATAGTCAGCTCATAGACCTATTCCTTTATGCGGCTGTTGCTGGTAGCTCCAGGGGACAGGGCTCTCTGCATTTCAACTATTGGGGGTGGCTCCGTTGAAGACCTGGTGGAAGAGCTCCGTCTTACAGGCCCTGTGGAACTGCATAAGGTCCCACAGGGCCCTGATCTCTTCTGGGAGCTCATTCCACCAGAATGGAGCCGCCACCAAGAAGGTCCTGGCCCTGGTTATGGCCAGCCTGGCGTCCTTCAGACCCGGGAGGGCCAGTCATTCTTGGGACCCTGATCGCAGTGCTCTCTGGGGAACATGTGGAGAAAGGCGGTCCCTCAAGTATGTAGGCCCTTGACCATAAAGGGCTTTAAAGGTACGAACCAGCACTTCGAAGCGAATTCAGTATGCTATCGGCAGCCAGTGCAATGCCTTCAGCACAGGCTGGATGTGCTCTCGCATAGGGAGGCCCATCAGGAGCCTGGCTGCCGCATTTTGCACCAGCTGTAGCTTCCGGATTTGAGACAAGGGCAGCCCCATGTAGAGAGCATTACAGTAGTCCAATCTCGAGGTGACCATCGCGTGGATCACTGTTGCCAAGTTGTTGCATTTGAGGAAGGGAACCAACTGCCTGATCAGCAGAAGGTGGTAAAAGGCTGACTTGGCAGTGGCTGCAGCTGCTACCTGAGTCTCCATTGTTAGAGAGGCATCCAGGAACACTCCCAAACTCCTAACCTCCAGCACTGGCACCAGCGGAGCCCCATCGAAGGTCGGGAGCGGGATCCCTACCCTCGGCCCGCCCTGATTCAGGCACAGGACCTCTGTCTTCGTTGGATTCAATTTCAGCCGGCTCATACTAAGCCATCCAGCCACGGCTTGCAGCGCCTGGTCCAGATCTTCCGGTTTGGAGTCAAACTGGCCGCCCAACAACAGATAGAGCTGGGTGTCATCTGCATACTGGTGACATCCCAGTACTTGCTTTTGGGCAATCTGGGCAAGGGGGCACATATAGATATTAAATAGCATTGGAGACGGCATCGCCCCTTGGGGCACTCCACAGTCCAGTCTAGTGTTCCCCTAGTGCCACCCTTTGTCCCCAACCTTGGAGAAAGGAAGCAAGCCATCGCAAGGCAAGCTAATGAATATTCTATATAAGTATTCTGCTAAATACAATTGCATAGTATACTGTAATTATACTGACGGAATATTTTTGTGACTGGTTATATCATACTTATTTCTTTGCATAATTATATCCTGCTTTTCTCCCTGATGGGGCCTACAGTATCATTCCCCCCTCCTCCCATTATCCTCACAACAACCCTGTGAAGTACGTTAGGCGGGGGGGGGGACACAAGCTGAAGGTCATCCAGCAAGCTGCCGTGGCAAAATCTTAGTGCACCCTGACAGCTCTGTTCGGTGTGGGCCTTGAAGGCTAGTCAAGAGAACTGTACCTAAATCTCATCTAACCCTAACGTGGCTGGTTTGAAAAGAGACATCCCATGGTGACCTGGTAATAATAATCATGCATATGTGATCAGCAGGTACCATTACAGCAACTTCTGCCGCTGCACAAGAGCAAAAACTGCTTGCCAGGCAGCTCCCTTTGAAATGAAAGCATATCTTGGAGACAATCAAAAGATATGCCCAACTGAAGACAATATGCTAATGTAGACATTGGAATGTAGGCTGCATTTCTTATGAAGTATGGTGCATCACTGACTATGGTTTGCTATGCTACTGATTTTATAATTTGATGGAAATCAAGGCATAAACTTAAGCTGGCTGGCAGAGCCACTGTGCTGGAGCAAAGGAGGTCTGTGTACCTGGTGGATTCTTGAATGGGAGGGTGCTTTTGAGTCTTACACATTTTACCTTGAGCTGCCCAGAGGAAATGTGTGATATACATTCAGCAAATAAATACTAAAATATTAGCCTCGACAAACAAGCTTCCTGGGTCTCCTTGTGGTACAAAAGGCTTTGGCATTACATAAAACTTGGTAACCATTAATTAATTAAACAACTGTTAATTAAATAATCCAGTCTGACATTCACAATTTAAAACACGACAACATAAAGAAATGAACTGACATATAAGAATGCTTCCAGAAGAATGGCTTTCCATGACATAATGGTGTTCTGCAAATACACAACACTGGTGTTTGATGTTTTACATTGCTTGCAGATGAAGTGGGCTAAAAGATTTGTGCAAAGGAATTTGTGCAAAGGAAAAAAGTACCCATATTGTTTCTTAAATATAACTGTTCCCTGCATAGCAACAGGAAGATACTTGACCATTTTAGATACTGAAACTATATGAGGAGCTATTTCTTACCTCAAGCAACCATAAAATATTTGGCAGAAAAAACTGAAAATAAAATAAATAACATAAAAACATTCTTGCTACAGAAACTGGAAAACTATGTTTTTATTTCTGAGAGGAGCATTTGTGAGTGGATAAAATAACTCTGAGAGGGTAAAAAGCACGGGTTATCTCAGTACCTCCCCATAAGTGCGCCTGTCTTCTGATGAATAGCTGATATAGGGAGAATAGGAGATCATATCTGGACGGTCGATGTTGTAGATGGCCTTGTCCTTTGGAAGGGCGGCCAAATCCCTGTAGTCCATGATTTCATCACCAAGCTTTGCCTAGGGAAGAAAGAGCAGAACGCAGTCAGGAACAAGTCTAGCACATCTAAGGATAGGAGGTATCAAGAGACTGGGTCCCCTTAGGCAGTCTCTTATCAATTCAACCACTGATTCAGGCTGAGGCCTAAGCAAAAAATCATGGGAGTCTGCCTCTTCTCTAAGAAACTAAAGTTAAGCTCACTGCAGCTTCAGAGAAAGAGATTAGGAAGATGGGAGAATGTCACAGGTGCCAGGCAGACCATTAAGCATAGCAGTTTCAAGGCCTCTAGGAGCGGGCCTAACGCAAGGTCAGGACCTTGCTTTATTGGACCCCCATACAGCTGCCGAGTATTTGGTCTAACCGGCAAGTCACCTGACAGTTAAGTCACCTAGTTAGTAACAGTTACATCATAGGCTATACATCTGACCGAGCAATTAGAATCAGGTCAATGCAGGTCATCGGGCATAAAGAAAGATTCTTCAGTTTAGTTTCTGCCCTTTGTCTGGATTATACCTAATTTTGGGAAACTTCTTGATTGTGGTTGAGCCAGGAAGGCCAAAACACCTGTCTGACTTGGACTTTGAAACTCTACTAAACTCAGTCTTGTCAAATTAACATCTGGATTTAGAACCAATGCTTGTAAAAGTGCTTATTATTTTATCCTCATGGTTCACTGCTCTTTTACTGTATATTCCTGGGTTTGGGGGCTTCAATCTGAACCCAGTACTTTAGCCCATATTGGCTACAGCTACCAGATGAACTGTTTTCTAGAACTCACTCGGTACACATTTTACCTTGCAGAGTTGACTTTCTTGTTTTTACCTCCAGGAGAACTAGAGGCTTAGTCCCTTGGTCTCTGGCTATTTATTTACTTATTGTATGGCAGAGTCATACACAGGAAGCATATCAATAATATAAAATACGTAACCAAGTTGATACAATGGGTATGCAGACCAATTGGGCAATCCCCGTAAATACTAATATCTAAGTTTTCAATCCACTCAAACACAGCTGGGGGGAGTTCAAAGAGCTCTGTCACATCTCCCTGGAAGGCATGACACTCACATTCCTGTGACAGATGGAAAATAGTTTGTCAGGCTGCACCGCAATCACATTTTGCCCATTTAAACAACAGGTCTGCACAACTGCCAAAGCCTGTTCATATTCTTTGAACTGTCTTCCATACTTTACGTGGCTAGTTAAATCCTGTGGGCCTCTCGTTGGTGTTTATCAGGTTATGGATATTGGGTGGAATCTATGTTCGCAACTATGTTCGCAACCATTCATTCCCTAGATCAAAAATTTGTGATTGCAGGATTTGTGCAGATCTTATCGCTGTGTGTTGGGATCTCAGTCTAGATAGGCCTGTGTCAGCCATGTCTTTGTGGATGGGCAACTCTCTGTTTTGTTTTCAATGATCTTTCTATATTCACAAAGAAGAGCATCTTGTCCTCGAAGATGCGGGGAAGCAATGTAGCACAAAGCGGGTTTGATGGGGCAGTAGTTGAGGTTCCCCAACAGGTGAATTTAAAAATCAGGGTATGAATATGCCAGGGGTGTAAAACAGGCCTCCAAGCAACTTCCTTCTCCTGCTTCCTTTCCCAGGGCTGCTCCTTGCTTGCTGTTTTCCCATCTCTCTCAGTGGCCCTTTGCTTCCTACTTCCTACCTCTTGCCTCCCTCCCTCTCTCTCCCACACACACACATAGAGAGAGCCTCGTGGTTGCTTCATGCCAGAGAGCTACAAAGACAAGCCAGCCAGCCAGCCCGCCCGCCCCTCCCTCCCTCCCTCTCATACACACACAGCTTCTGCTTTCTTCTCCAGGGCTGCTCCTTCTATTTTGGGGGAGAAGGGAGGAGGAAGAAAGAGAGAGAGAAAACAAAACTGGAGTCCCGGCTTTAAGACCAACAACGTTTTATTCCAGGTATAAGCTTTTGTGTGAAAGCACACTTCTAGGGAGGGAGGGAGGGAGGGAGGGAGGGAGGGA